AGTATTGAAAAATTTAAAATCTTTGATGCATTTCCCAAATTGTGGTTAACGTATAGCATCGCTGTGTGATCCTTGTTTCTCCATGTTGATCTAATGGGCCTAATGTTAAGTGTATGGGGTAATGCTTTAACATGAGTTTCTATGGAATTACAGCTTAAATCTAAAACTATACTTTAACATGGGCAATGCTAAGTCAATGGCAATGCTAAGTCTATGAGTAATGTTAAGTCTATGACATAGAGATAACATGGGTAATGCTGAGTCTATGAGTAATTCTAATCCTATGTGACTAATGTTAACTCTATAAAGTTGATTCTTATTTTATGGACAATGATAAGTCTATGGGACTAGTGCTTTATAGTAGATTTCTATAAGATAACCGAATAAATATCAACAATCATATTAGAAAATTTTCAAAATACAAACATAAAAGTTAAATAACAATGAAAAATTTAAAAAATAATATTCATTTAACAATGTTTTAAAAATTAAATTTTAAAAATATAATTATTAAACGCAATACATTCTTTGAAAACTACCCGAATTGTGGTTAACGTATAGCATCGCTGTGTGACCTTTGTTTAAAATTGTAGCACAAATACTAATCATGTTTTTATTATTTTTTAATAGAATTATTTTATAAAATTTGTTTTTGGATTAATTAATATTTGTAAAGTTCAAAAGATGTTTGTTTATGTATTTGTTTAAGTGTTTGTTTAAGTATGTTTAAGATAAAATTAATTTTTTGTAAATTATAAATTTAAATTATGTTATCAAATAGTGGATTTTATTTTAAATGACTTTTAAAAAATATTTGTTACGTTAATTATCATGCTCCTTAAGAAAATAATCTAAAGTATTTTAGAGACTACCGCTTCTCAGATTGTGTTTTTATTGAGATAAAATTATTTTGCAAATTATTTAATAAATTATTTAAGAGTAATATAATTAGATAAAAGAATTGTCACAAAAATTAAAATATATTTTGCTAAAATGAATTTTAATAAAATGTATTTTGAGCAATTGTTCTTTGAGCAAGTTTATTTTCTATGATTAATAGTGAAGTATGTTTTCAAATGCAATATCGATTTCATAATAATGGTGCATTTACTTATTAAGTGAATATAAATGAAATTAGTTTATTCTATATTTGATTTCTATAAAATTATAAAAATTAAAATTTATAAAATAACATTTTATTAAAAATCATGTAAACGTAACTTTTACTTTTACAACGTAGCTCAATAATCATGTTAATTTTATCTGCATAATATAAAGAATATAGATAATATGCGTAAAACACTTAAAGAAACATAAATTTAATTTATTAATAACTTACAAATTAAATTATTAATAAATTATCTTACACATTGTTTATTCTTTTTTACAACAAATTAATTATTATTTGTAACAATAATTACATGTCTAAATTTAAAAGGTGGAAAGTTAATATCGATAAAAACATATCTTAAATATTAATTACACCAATATATTATTGCTCTTTCACTCTCTCTCTCTCTCTCTCTCTCTTTCTCTCTCTCTCTCTCTTTCTTTCGTTCTCTCTCTTTATTTGACTAACTTTTGCTAATGTTTTTATACATTTACTCTTCATTTATTTGAATTGTATTATAACTGACAAAATAAATTGATAAAATAAATAATCCTGTTCAAATATCAGACAATTTTTATTTCTGTTGTTTTTTGCAATAACTTGAGAGTACAATGTAGTTTACTTTTTAAAGCCTTAATCGGTCCATTAGTACACATTCCTTTTTTATTTTAGTAAGTATTAGTATAAATGGAAATGATTAAAATTGGCCAAGTTGCATTGTAAATAAAATCTTGAAATTGGTCTAATTATTTATGATCACATTTTTGAAATTTTTTGACACATTTCCTTAATTCTTTTTAGATGGCAACTTGGTCAAGCTAATTTATTTATATTTATACTATCATAACAATTTATTGATTATTATAATTGAATTTACTGAAAGAAATACAAACAATTAATAATTATTTTTGGAAACTCTATTCTATATTAAGCATATTTTTAAAATTATATACAAATGACCACTTAATTACGATAATATAACTATCAACATTGTTTTATTACATTTTATAAACAATTAAACCTAAAGTTTAAAAAATTTATTAATTGATATTTTAAAATTATAAAAATACTTACAAAACTATTTATTTATTGTTATTTGTAAGAGTATTATCAATGAATTTTAATCCTTATATAAAATTATCTGTTATATTGTGAACTAAAACCTTTTAACTTTTGATCTGTTGTTTTTGTATTACTAAATGCCAAATATAATTTTCCTATTTCATACTGATTATCAACCACTTTGGTTTTAATTGACAATTTTTACAAAATATTTTTATATTTTGCAAATAATATATTGATAAAAATAATATAATATTATAGTATCTTTGAATATTCATTTAATATCCTGGCATTAATCTAAACAAAATATAAAGTCCAACAATATAATTGATTATTAAATTTATAAATATATAAATTGAATCCATAGTTAACCTTATTGTTACATTGCTATTTGTTTAAAATTATATATTAATTAAGTGTGATACATTTGTAACGAAAATTGGTCAACAAAATAACATTTCATTTATCAAAATAATTATTAATTTTGTAAATTAAAAAATGCTTTTAATTTACAAATTAATTGTAATAGTGTTATCATTATGCTATGGCATTCATCTCATTCATTCTGAGGGTATTGTTATTTAATTATACTAATAATACTATTTATAATTTATTTTTACTAATTGTCTTGTTAAAATTTCTAGTTCACATTGAGCCTAATAATTGGAACGTGATAAACAAAGAGAGGTCCAAAGGATATTTGAATTGGCCGTACCAGGATCACCAAGATATTCTGCTACACAAAGCCAGTGAATTCTTTTACTTAAAAGGAAAGGAAGCTTCACTACAATTCAAAAAAGATTTCATCGACAGACCGGACGTGAAAGCGAGCAATCGATTTATTTTTAGTTTTAAGGTAATGTCGTTTTAGTTTATATTATTGTTTACTTATAATTATGTAATTTATTTATGATTAATGGTAAGTATATAATGCACATTTTTAACTAATAAAACATTTATTTTGATTACGTTTTAATAAAATATACAGTTTAATATAAAGTAAAGTTAGAATATAATAGTACTGATAGTAAAATAAAATTTTAAACTTTATAAGCCTATTAATAGTTTTTGTGGAATTTATAGTTTTGGGGATATGAAGATGCAGATTTGCCCAAAATTAAAGTGTCAATCGGCAAGGATTACAGCGATTACATTAGCCAAGATTACGTACTCGGTTTCCGCGACTATTGGATGCCCAGAAAATACCTTTTGACATATGACCAGTTAAAAGATTTTTGGTTGGAGCTAGCTTTTTTCTCAAACTCAGTTGTTGCGTTGAAAGACATATCATGTAAGCAATAATTTTGAAACAATTTATTTAGTACAATATTCGAACTAAATTCTAATTTTATTTTATTCACGATAAGTTATAATTTATTTATTTGATAAAAATATATTCATAACTTATATTTATCATGTTTATTGTTTATAATTATCACTTATCAACAGTGGAATACGAGACACAATCTGAAATAAAAAATATGACCAGGTTGAATTTGACCACTGAAATGTATTTAAAAAGTGATAACGTCTCGCGCGGCACCATGGTCCCATTGAAAACATTGGTTGATCCTACTTTATGCAAAATGTAAGCGTAATTACTTAAACCTTCATATATAATATAAATTCATTTGATAGTATGAGTATTTTAACCTAAATTACACAGACAATGTAATTAAGTATAAATGTCATTATATTAGTTACAAATGTCATAATATAAAATTAACAGTAAATATTGTACAATAATTCTACATTTTTTCTAATCAATAGAGGCAATAGTAATAGTGATATACATACTATTAGTGAGGAGTGCTTTCAGGACGCGAGCGGTTATGGTTTCACAAAACATGACAATCTTTTCAATACAGAAATCAGTGATTTGAATCGAGAGGACACGTGTTTTACTTTGACATATTTGGCCAGAACGGAGGTCATTATTAACTTACACTACCTGTTGCCTAATAAGGAATTCACCAAGGACCAAAACATAATACTGTCCATTAAACCCAAAATAATGTCCAGCGGTTTGTCTCCCGAATCGAGCTCTATATGTATGAAAGATCTGTTAGCTGTGAGCGCGCGCTCGTATTCTGTCGCACATGAAATACCGTATGTTTACGTCAGTATTAATGGGCTAAGCGGAAAGGCTAATGAATTGTATATCAAACTGGAAAAACTAACCACAACGCCGTCGACCGCGTGGACAGATTTATTCAAACAGGGTACTATTAGAAATTACTATGATTCAACTGCACCATGGCCAGTAGTGATCCCTAATAAACTCATAAGTGCCGATAGAAATAAATTTACAATTGTAGGTATGGTAATCGCACATTTGACAATAATTGCACAAAAATTAATATTTGTTAATCTGAATATATAGTTACACCAGAAGATGAACGCACGGCCAACGCTCATCTAATTAGCCATTGGATAAAATACGACCCAACTCTAGCCACACACAATCGACCTGGGCAATATAAGCTGACATTTAAAGATTCCAGAGCGTTCAACGCGTTCAATATTAAGCCAAAAGTGTGCGACGACCTTGCTCATTGTACAGATGTCAGCATAATCAACGTCAACAAAAATGTGCATAGCCCGGATGAAAGGCCGTCACCACCGCCCAGCACTTGGGTCTACTCGTTCGTCATGAATGAAATACCAGACACTAAATACATCAAATTTATGTTTGAGATCGAATACACGGCACACGAGTTGATCCCGGGTGTGCTGGAGGCGCAGATAGAACTGATCACATTTGGCGACCCGTGTCAGGTGCCCGCAACTGAGTGCGAGAACGTCGGTCGCGCTCGAGGCAAGAAGTGCATGAATGAGGCAGTGTCGAGCGCACCCAATGTGTGCCCGTGTCTGTTCGGCTATAGTGGCGACCGGTGCGAGAAAGTCGACTATTGTATGGTTAGAACCGATGTAAATATAAGATTAAAAAATTTATAGCCACTTACTAAATATTAATTTGTTAAATAATAGTTGGGAAAATCTGGTCAAGTAATATGCGACAATAGTGTAGCGTCAAAAACGTGCGATAATGAGGGCTCAACACATTTGGTCGGAGATATGGGCGACAAGAATAAAGTGTACCGATGTGTTTGTCAGGATCCAGCACATTTTAACGCAGTAAACTGGGACAAGTAAATAATTTTGATATAACTCTACTTTATATTTATAATTATTTTATAACATATTCATAATTTGTCAATTTCTACCTTTTAAAGGACTGCCAAAATGTGTAGAGAAGCTGCGATTAAATTGGTTAGAGGCTGGACACAGGTTGGGACCGATTTCTATCCGAGCGATTCATCAAATGAAATAAGCTATGAATTCACTGACATTAGTACCGATAGAGTGGACATATGCTCGACAATAGATTATACTCTCGTAAATCCAACACATAGTATAACAGTTAACTATCAAGTAGGTGTGTCAGTCAGAAAGTTAGTCGACTTAAATTTACTACAGGGCAGTAATGTTGTGAAGTTCTGTGTGAGAGACTTTATGTACAAACCATCTAGCAACTTTTTCTTGACCATTACATCTGTGGCCGATAAATACGACGCGAGTTCGTTAATAAAATTCACGTGGAGTGTAGAGTCCGTATTGATTGGCACAATGAATATGAAACTGATCGCCGGTTTGAAGGCAACCGATCGGTGGAGAAATGACTACCTGTTTGGAGACAATGCTTTCACATTTGACGGCACAAAATTCAAAAACACAAGTATTTATCAAATATAGTATTAATAATTAAATAATTTTTTATTTGTTATATTTAAGATATTTTTTGATATGATAACTTATTTATTATCTCTTCGATTATGAGAAGTTGCATGTTTTATATACATTTACTACTATCAATTTTACAAATAATTTAATGTTAAATAAAATTAATATTTAAAAATTAAATACATTTCAGTCACAATTCCGCCTAAAACTACAACCGAAATACCGATATATTTAATGAGCGATTGGATTGAATTTAACCCCAAAATTAACGATCCGTTGAAACCGCGGATATCTATCGACAAGATATTAGCGGCGAATATAAATGCCGTGAAAATCGAAACCGGAATACTTTGGGACACACAAGACATGTCTTCTCTACAGTTATCTCGCGTCGCCTTTTTGGCCGACAAAGACATCGAACAATCCCTACAAATCACTCAATACAATAAAATCCAATATTTCAAACTTGTCATGAAATTTACGCTAACCAACGCCGACGCGACTAACCCTAAAACTGTAGACCTGGCGGTCAGTGATGTATCGATTGGTGATCCATGCGATAGAAGAGCACGAAATGTTTGCTCAAATCAGGGCACTTGTTCGTCACTGGTTGCACCGATCCAATACTCACCAGAAAACTACGTGTGCACATGCGATGACGCACATTTTGGCAAAGATTGTGAGCTGAAACGATGCGCTGATGTCGATGTAATTAATAAACATTATTATACAACAAATTTATTTATTAACTTTTGTTTGCTTTAATTTCATAGGCGAGGGAAATGTGCAATGCTTTACCGCGATATGCTTTGGATATTGCCAATCCATATGTGACAAATTGTGAACAAGACAATACTGGGACAACTTATAAATGCTATTGTCCCAACGAATATAAAACTGATAATGCTAATCACGGGTAAATTAATTTAAAATACTATAATTTTAATACATCATTATAGACAGTAAAAAAGGGCGATCTAGAGCTTTCTTCACAGAAAAAACTTAACTTTAGATAAAGTAATGTTTGACTCATTGCTTTGAACACAACTTTAATATTTGTGAAAATGAATTAGAAAATTGNCTTTAGATAAAGTAATGTTTGACTCATTGCTTTGAACACAACTTTAATATTTGTGAAAATGAATTAGAAAATTGTTTTTTTCTGTGAAGAAAGCTCTAGATCGCCCTTTTTTCCTGTCTATATACATCATATCGTATTTTAACATAATCAATTATTAGTTATTTATAAATATTATTAATAAATGTTATTCACATCTAGATGTTTGAACAAATTTACCTACACCAATAAAAAGCTATCATGTGGTTTTAGTGGAAAAACACCAGGGTGCGAATTCATTACACTTGATACTAATATAATCAAGTGGTCAAATGAATTTGAGCCCAAATTAACACATGAAGTTAAATACAAGGATGTATTTCCTTTATACGTGTCGGAGTTATCGGGCGATAAATTGACGCAAACATTCAATAACTACGACACCACTCGTGACTTTTGCTATACTTTTAAATACTTCGCAAACGCGGACTCAAAAGTAGTCGTTTCATACAAAGACCAAACATCGGGGTATATATTTGGACGATATTCAGGCGAAGACTTCAACCAACAGTCTATATGTGTCTCACATTTAACACCAATTATTGAGAATAACTTTACAATTGTGTTCAAAACAGTTATGCCTAAACCGGCCAATAGACTGGCTATTAATATACCGAGCGTTTATACAAACGATCCAATTAATAGCGAACATCTTCCATATTTACCATTAATTAATCCAACGCCCACAACACCCCCTACACCTCAAGTTGATCCTGATGCTACATTTGAAAAAATATTCGTAGCAACTCATGGAACAGACTCATTTTGGAATCATACAGGCAACATTTTAACCTTTAAACGTAAGCCATTAATTACATTAATTAATACGATTCGGGAGAATTCACTTTTGATAAATTATTTATTTAAATAATCATATTGTCTTTAAATAATATATTACAGCAACAACTCAGTCAGATGTGGCCGTATATATGGTCAGCAAATGGGTTCAAAAGACAACCGATTTGGTGGACGTATGGATTAAATTAACGTCAAAAGACTTCACGGGATTTGCCATTCAATTCGTGACGTTTGACGACAAACTACAAGAAGCGTCGGCTGTGGACACTGTGATCGGCGACAACAAAATCATTCAAAACGTAACATATATTTATCATAGATAATCATATGTACATAATGATCATTAATTTCTTAACATGTTTATAATAATAGGCGGTCACTACAACTAATAATAAACTAAAGATTAAAGTGCCGGCCGGTAGAGTTTGGAAGTTTGGCATTAGAGTCACTTATATTACAATATACAAAGAGTTGTTTACAATCGATCAGTTCTCACTCAACGACCCGTGCGCTGAACCCGATAAACACTCCCTAATTAATTGCGCCACAAGGGATAGTCATGGAGTGTGCAAACGATTTGTGAAGGAACATCCAGAGTTACCATATTATTGCGAATGCGACCGCAGGTTATATTATGGTGATAAATGCGAACGAACTAATTATTGCACCAATCCGTACATTGTGAGTTTGCATTAATTATTATATACAATTTATTCAAATTGTTTTTGAATCATCAAATTAGTAAATTACAGTTTAAAATATAACACAATTATATTAAAATTGGAATTAATTGTGTTTACCATTTATTTTGAATAGCATTTTCCAAATAAAAAAGGCGACGATTATTGTGCGAGTGATGCTAAACGTGGTAAATGTGAGATCGATCCATCAAATAATCAATTTGAGTGCACGTGTCCTAAAGTGGAACAATATTATTGGGATTCGCGCGACGACGTAATGGAGTAAGTATTCAAACTACAAATTAATATATTTGTTTTTATTAAAATGCTATTAATTTGATAAAATAGTTGCAAAAATCTGCCCAAATGTTTCACCAAAGGGTGTAATAAAGTTAGCGAGAATTGTGTGGAACCGCCAGAAGACACACCGGAAAATGACGCAACATGTGTGGCCAAAGAAGGCTATTATAAAGACCCGGTGACGGGAGTGACCACAAGGATTGACATTTGCAAAGTCGCCGACAGAAAGATTGCCAAATATCTTAATGAGAAACCCTGTGACGACGATCGGGCTATTTGTGAACACGACTTTATTAGCCTCACCCACTACACGTGCAGATGTCCCCCTGGGTTTGAAGCAAATGGTACTTACAGTCTATTACCAATTTTTATAAATATCCATAATAGTCTATTATATGGTTGCGGTGAAGCTTTTTTATAACTTGAACTTTTATTGCTTTAACTTGATAATTTATAACCTATTATTCACTATTACCGTTACTTTTATTATTGTCATCGAGTGATGTTTTTATATAGTGTTTACGTGTTTTTATATTATTATATTACGAGTATAACAATTTTAATTTAAACCCCTATTCCTTATATAAATGTACCCTATTTCTTAGCGTTGTCAAATACTATTTTGAAAATCCTTTATAAAAATGTTAAAATTCCTAAAAATTCCTTTATTTTTCAATGTACATAAAAATTTCTTCCTGTATATTGTGAGAATTTTTGTATAATACTGTTTGGCAACGCTATATAAAGTATAAGCATTATATGAGTAAAACATCAATTGAGTATACAGTATATTACTTACGATTACTTACAATCGTTAGCAATAGAATTACTCTACAGGTGCCCTGACCCATACATAGTCTATTATTAATAGAATCTTTGTTTATTTATTTATGCTATAACAATTTAATTAATTAGGTTCAATTTATCAAGAATAATCTCATTTTTATACCGAAATCATATTTATTATTAGAATATTTTAAAAATGTCTGTATGCCCCATAACGTTAGAGCTATTCAAGATCATTTGATTCTGTTTTCAGATTTTAAAAACATTCAATGTCTACATATTAATGTCACATTAATAATGTGTTCTTGAAGAAAAAATAAAACTCAAATTTTCTTGATTAGTTCTAACGTTATTGAGCATACAAACATTTTTAACCACTATTCTGATATGAATAATGTGGTTTATAAGATCGTTTAACATGGATAACATGGATAATGCTAACTTAATGAGACTAATGCTAATCCAATCGACTAATGTTAAGTCTATTGACAATGTTAAGTCTATGGCAT